ATATTAAAAAATGATTTAATTTCAGTTATTATTATTTTATTTAATATTCATTTAATTTTTACTTTTTTTAGCTCAATTAATTATTTTAATTAAAATGATTTGATTTTCATATACAAGTTAAAAATACTAGTCAATTTTATAATAATGTTTTCTGCATGTTAAGCTAGGTTGCTATTTTGACTTAATAGAAGCATGAATTAAGTGGAAGTAATGAGAGGTGTATAACCTTATTATGGAAGAAATATTAGGGGTACTCGCCGGCAGTTACATTCCTTGCTTGGAAAAACAAAAAAATTTACGGCCATAGCTTGCATGAAAACAGTATTTTATTTTATTTTTATTTTTTTGATAACAGCATGAAAACAGTATTTACGTATGAAACAAGTAGTTTAACCCAAAAAAAAAGAGTACGAAACAAGGAAAATTATTTGCTGTATTATATCTGCCTGGAAGAACTCAATTTATAAACTTGCTTTATAACTGGTAACTATATACTCGGTATTGGATTCTCATTTTTGAAAGTTTTTTAAACAACTTCCATCATCATAGCCAAAAAAGTGGCCGCCGGAACAACAAGGAATGGTGTTTTTTATTATGATGCACTTGAAGTTTTATTTTATGTAGTTTGTAATGTATTCCCTTATGTGTTAATAACTAATAAGTTAATTTAATGTATAAGAACTGAAAAATAAAGGGGAAAATTGTATGCCCTCATTTCTGGTAATGAGAACATGTAATTATCCTATTGGGTTGGTGTGAGACTCGTCGACTAATTAGAAAAGCTAGACATTTAGAAATATGGAAATATAAGAATCATGTCGCATAAATGATAATTTTTATTCATGCAACCATTTTTTTAACTATGTACTATCAGGAGTACATAGTTAAAAAATAATAATTTTAATATTAAAACTATATATTTCCGGGAGTTCATAAGTAAAAATGAGTTGCATGATGTTGTGTAACAGGACATCCATGGACCTTTATAAATAATACATAATTTGCATGATTTTTTTGTTCTAGCAGCTTATACAATTTGTAATTTGTATCTTAACTTTGGCTACAAAAGTCTAAATTGCATGTCTTCAGTTGCATTTTAAAGCTAAAAGATGGGGCTTTCAGTACTAAATATCTCATGATTCACATCAGGATTTTGTCCTTAATTTCACATCCTTGAGCTTAATTTAACAATGTTTGGTACAGCAAATGCAATGTCCTTCATCAAATATAATGCAAAAAAAAAAAAAAAAATACAAAAGCAATGCATCTAAGCTAAATCTCAAAAGAGCCTAACAACTATTACTGTAGCATCTACCTGCCTTATTGGGTGAAAATGTTACTGCTAACGTGGATAAAAAATCATTACCTGAGATCTGACATGTGCAAATTGCTCATTCAAACCCTTCAAGAAACGCACTATTTGATCTTGATCTCTATGAGTTCGTACCAAATCAATGAGACCACAATTGCAAGGAATAGTACAGCGACATAGAGGCAAGGGATGAGGGTTGTCAAGCTCATCCCAGAGAGTCTTCAACTCAGTGAAATAATCAGTCACATTCATCTCACCTTGATGAAGTTTGTACAAATCTTCTTGAATTTCAGAAAGTCTGAATATATCAGATTGACTAAAGCGATTTTTCATATATGTCCACATGTCTGAAGCACGATTCATGTTGGGATATTCAAGTGTAATGAGTCTCACATTGGTTGCTAATGGGCTAAGTAGTGTATATAAGTGGATGGACACATGAACCCAATGCCTTAAGGTTTTGGGTTTAGATGTGGTGTCGGATCCACTTGCTACGGTTGGTGTAGCCTTAGCTCATTGGTGGTGGCCTCCCGCCACGGACTTTCCTTGGACCCGCCTGACATTGGTATCAGAGCCGGGTTGGGCTCGAGCTAGCCTAGTGATTGACTAGGAGGCGAGTTGAGTACTTTGCGTTTCGGGTACTCGGTTGAGGGGGAGCATACCAATGGTGGGTTTTACACTTGAGGGGGAGATTGTTGGGATATTCAAGTATGATGAGTCCCACATTGGTTGCTAATGGGCTAAGTGAAGTGTATATAAGTGGATGAACCCATGAACCCAATGCCTTAAGGTATTGGGCTGAGATGTGGTGTCAGATTCACTTGTTACGGTTGGTGTAGCCTTAGCTCATTGGTGGTGGCCCCCCGCCACGGGCTTCCCTTGGACCCGCCTGACAATTCATCCATAGGATTGACTTTTCGATTGAACTGTTTATTGATCTGTGGATCCAAGCAAGAACAATAATGTTGCATCTTTGCCAAGCAACATAAAGAGAATCGTCAATGGCAGGAGGAGCAATGGTTCCATCAACAAATCCAAGCTTATTCTTGGATAATAATGCCATGCTCGTAGCTCTTGCCCAAGTATGATAATTCTTTCCACTCAAAGGTGGATTTATAAGAACGAGAGTAGGATTCTCGTTTGGATGCAAGAAAAATGGGTGACCTGGATTGGTCAAGTAATCAGGAACATCTGCCATTTGCCGAAAGAAAAGAAAATTGAGAAAAGAAACGGATGAGAAAAAATTTGCAGCGGAAATGGTGGATACCAGAATCATGAAGGTAAAAACAGAGAGTGCAAAGGGTTTCATTCTGAGATGAAAGAATGATTTTCTAATCTGTGAAGAATTACAATGTCTATATTTATACACACCTTATTTACAAAAATAATCTTTAATTCAACTACTCTAACTTTCTAACTGAATCACGTGGCATCTGTTATAACATTTGAAGAGATGACGTGGCTCTCTTCTTTTGTTCTGTCACTTCCTTTTTTATCCACGTTAGAAGTAACATTTTCACCCAATAGCTAACCCATTGATTTTAGGATGCAGATGCAGTCTTAAAAAGGAGCAAACTCATGCAAAGTCCTTGTATAGATTTCACCCAAAACCAAAAAAAAGTCCTAGTTTTGAAACACTTTGTCATCACTTCTTGGAATCTGAAGTAATAAGTGAGGCAGATAATCAGACTAGCAAGACTATAGATGCGGGGATTAGGGAGTGATCAGTGCTTGAAAGCTAAATATCATATAAGCTAGAGTAAACTAGTAACAAATATGTTTGACAAGCATCATTTAGGAAGAACAAAAACAACCCTGTCAATTATAACAACCTAACTGAACTGTATTGACATTAATCATACAGTTAATTTCATCAAGTAATGACAATCTCTATCCAGAAATTTCATCCCGCAGGACAGCTATAAAAACAGCAATGGTTCCACCTGCAGCAAGTGTATTGTAATGTCCCACATCGGTTGGAGAGGGGAACGAAGCATGCCTTATAAGGGTGTGGATACCTCTTCTAGTGTGAGGCATTTTGTAGGGTGTCCCAAGAAACAAAACCGTGAGCTCACGGTGCTTGTGCGCGGGGCAAAGCGGACAATATCATGCTACAGGGTTTGGGGCTGTTACATTTGGTATCAGAGCCAGCGGGGACGCTGTATTCCCAGTGGGGAGGATGTAATGTCCCACATCGGTTGGAGAGGGGAACGAAGCATGCCTTATAAGGGTGTGGATACCTCTTCTAGTGTGAGGCCTTTTGTGGGGTGTCCCAAGAAACAAAACCGTGAGCTCGACGATGCTTGTGCGCGGGGCAAAGCGGACAATATCATGCTACAGGGTTTGGGGCTGTTACATGTATATAAAGATCTACTAGTTTTATGTCATAGATATACACTTAGCAACAATGACATAAATCTACAAACTAAACAAATGCATGATTCATAAGATCCACTAGTGAAACTTCTCATCTTCCCCTATATTTAAATTTTGTATTCAGAGGAATACAACCCATTATACAATTAAAAGATCCATTCCAAAGAATACCACCACTCCAGAAACATGTTCCCGGCCACATAATTAAGCACGCAGTGAAAAGGGTTAAAGACATAAAATCTTCTCAGCATAAACAGAAAAGACAACCATAAAATTCAGGTCCTGATAAGCATAAATTGATAGTTAAACTAAAATTATAACAGGAATCAAATAGTCAAAGAACCCACTTGATTCAACAGCAATCATTGTCAAATTTCATGAAATCCTTGTACCCAATATTGAAGTTAAGTACCTAAAATAGAATAGAAGTCATATTCTTTATCTGAAAAAATTGTTAAATCTTCAACAACAATCTACAGAGCCTAAGAAGAAACAACCACATTGATTAAAATAACTGCAAGAAATAAAATATCCATAAATTAAAAAATAAAATGAAAAAAGAAAATCACTTTTTTTTCTTAAGTTGTTTAACATTTTTGGCATTAGATTGTTTTCTGGTTTTGCGTTTTCTGGTGAGAGCAAACTCTCCAAATTTATGACCCACTTTTCCCTCCGTCTTCTTAACGACGCCGTTTGCGTGTAGGCCATATAACTACCATTAAATCTAAAAATTTGTTGCCGAAGCCGTTTCTTATGTGCAAGCCACAAACTGAGTCAATCACATATAGATAATTTTGTTAAGATTTTCTTTTGATTTATAAAACCTATCAAGTTTCAAAAGAAATCAATCACATATAGATAATTCTGTAGATGATAATTCTGTAGATGATAATTCTAAAACCTAATGGATTTAATTTTCAAGTTTTTAAAAGTGTAGATATATCATTTAGTTAGTTGCACTACGATAATGAGAGAAAAATTTCAAACTATTTGTAATTACATTATATAATTATAAGATAATTAGGAATATTGCGTAACTATATTTCAAAATAGAATAATGATAACGCGTTAAGAAGTTAAATTCAATTAAGAAGCACTCAAGATGATAATAAATCTTAACAACATAATAAATATTTTTTTCTCTGCCGTTAAAAATGGGAAAGTTGTTAGTTTTTCATCTCGTAAAATTGATATAGGACACTAGTTGGATTACATTAGACCCTTGAAGAACATTTTATCCAAGTTAGCGGAAGATTAGAAGGCTTATAGGTGAAAGAAAGCTATATATATATTCTGGTTTAAATCAAGGGTTATGGTTCTCAACGAAATCTTAAGAAGAGACCATTGTTCACGTAAGAGAGTTACGGAGAAGATGTCAAACAAGGATTTGAAGGACAAGTACAAGAACCACAAGGAATCATCATCATGGGCATGGTCAAAGTGTTTTCATCATGGTAGTGGAAGATTTACTGCTATGGGAAATGCACAACAATGGAATAATGTTGTTGACTTGTCTAATCTGTTCATTGGGCACAAGTTTTCTCAAGGTGCTTATAGTAAGCTTCATCGTGGTATATATAATAAGGAACCTGTTGCTGTTAAAATTGTGAGTGTACCTGAGGATGAAGCAATGGGAAACTTGGCTTCAAAGTTAAAGACACAGTTCATCAGAGAAGTCACGTTTTTATCTCATCTCCACCATCAAAATGTTATAAAGTTCATAGGAGCATGCAAAGACACAGATGTTTATTGCATTCTCACGGAGTATCTATACAATGGTTCTTTAAGGGCATATTTGAACAAGTTAGAGTCCAAACCAATTTGTGTGAAGGAGGTAATAGGTTTTGCTTTGGATATTGCACGTGGAATGGAGTATATACATGCACAAGGTATCATTCATAGAGACCTTAAACCGGAGAATGTGCTTGTTGATGGGGACTTACATCTCAAAATTGCTGATTTTGGGGCTTCATGTGAGGCTTCAAAGTGTGACAACTCATTGAGTGGTACCTACCGTTGGATGGCACCAGAGATGATCAAAGGCAAACGTTATGGGAGAAAGGTTGATGTCTACAGTTTTGGGCTTATTCTTTGGGAAATGGTGAGTGGCAAAATGCCATTTGAGGATATAACTCCAATACAGGTTGCTATTGCTGTGAAAAATAAGGATTTAAGGCCTGTTATTCCTTCAACATGTCCACCTGTTATTAGAAATTTGATTCAACAATGTTGGGCCTCAAAACCAGAGAAGAGGCCCGAGTTCTGCAAGATTGTTCAGGTTTTGAAGCAGTTTGATCAATCTTTATTAGCCACTGATGGAACCCTGAATCTGATGCAAAAACCCTGTAGCCAAGATCATCATCATCTTAAGAAAGATTTTCTTCATTGGATTCAAAAGATTGGCCATGTGCATTGAACAGTGGCCCAACTTTTGTAATTTTACCATTTTAAATTGTAATTAGAAATGAAGAGTTGTTTCAGATATTTGTCATTATGTCAATAAATTTCATTCTTTCTATTCAATATTTTGGATTGTGGGGATGGGGTTCACTTTGTTTAACAGCTCATTTATTATGGTATATTTATGAAAAGTAAAATGGAGAAAAAGGAATGTATACATGAATTCAAGGTTAAGCTAATGGATGGCTTTCTAAGAATTAAAACGAAACACAATAAGGCCAATAACAAACAACCTCTGCGAAAAAGTAAGGATAAGTTTTAGAGCTCTTTCATGTGTGTGTATATATTGTAAAGAAGAACCTTTTGAGGCAAACAATTATCATAGATATTCATGAAATTATGGTTTAAGAGAGAGAGAAAAAAAAATGAGCATGTGAGAACAAAGGACACCACACATACATATAGGTGCAATATATACAGACTGTCAATTTCTTTCCTCCCAATAGAAGAATCAATGTGGACAGGGTAGAGGTCTACAGCTGATGAATATGAAGCAGTCCATGGCCCATTATCAATTGATAAATTCTGATTTCCTGCTTGTGTCTCACTTATCTTATTTTCTTCTATCGCATAGTAATAGTCTAGGGTGTACATGGGTCGAACAAAACCGAATTTTTTGAAAAATCGAACCGAATTGGTTTAAACGGTTCGGTTCAAAATAGTTCGGTTCGGTTCGGTTCAGTTCAAAACCAGTTCGGTTCGGTTCGGAAGTGGTTCGGTTCGGTTCGGAACTGGTTCGGGTCGGTTCCATTCTGAAAAATAAAATAAAAATAAAGTAATAAAAATTAGTTTGGTTCGGTTCAAAAACGGTTTGGTTCGGTTAAAAAACGGTTTGGTTTTTTAAGAGGAATAGTTTGACTATAAATAAAAAACGGTTCGGTTAAAAATTAGGAAAATAGTTGTCTCATGTTATAGAAATAGAATTACAAGACCGACCCACATGTAAAATGAGAGAGAAAAAATAGATGTGGGACTATAATATCCCTAACCTAATTAAATAGTAAGTTACATGTTATTAAGTAAATTGGCATGTATTAGTGAGTTAAAATAAGTAAAAGGCCTAATTAAATTAATTAGGGTCACTTTTGAGGTAAAAAGTATACTCAGTGAAAATTAAGGGGTATAAATGGGTGTCGGCAAACTCCTAGAAAAATATTCCAGACACTTGGGTAAAGTTTGGTGATTAATGGAGTTGAATAGATAGATGAACCAATACCCACTTTATTCCACTTAACCAAAGTTAAGTGACCATGCCATAAAAGAACCCAAAATCCCTCACATTCCCGTCGACAACAAGAAAAGAAAAGAGAAGAAAGAAAGAAAGAAGGAGCGGAGGAGAGGGAGAAGAGATCCCTAGCTCCCTCCATTCTTAACCTTTTTTCTTGATTCAAAAGCCTAAACCACTTAGATTCTTTCGCCTCATCCTTAATCCTAGCTTGGTTCTTAGTGGGGAGTGGTGTGTTGTGGGATTTCTCTCTCCAAAGTTTCGACCCATTTGGAAAGTGGAGAGATTTGTTGGCTTCTACCTCCATGGAAGCTTGAGGAGCAACCTTGCCTTGTTGTGTGATCCATGGTGGTGAGTTTTCCACTCTCTTTCACACAAATTCCTTGAGTTTTGCATGATTTAGGTTTTGATGAATAGTGTTTTAGGGTTTTATGATAATGTGAGTAGATTGGCTATGTTCTAGGAAGATTGAGACTTAGTGTATGTTGTGAAAAATGCTAGGAAGGTTAAATAAACGGTAGAAATGAGTTTAGATTGTTATTTAAGCTATGTTCAAAATCTTGGAAAATTCATACTTGAAATATCGAGTTTCTTGCATTGTTGAGCTATAGCTTGGATTGGTTGTGTTGATGGTGTCCTTTGTGTTTATAGGATTGAAGCAAAAGGAACCACATTGAGTGACCAACCATTAGTGGAAGCCATGGAGCTTGAGTAGCTCATTTGGATTGGGTGTGTTGGTGATTGGAAGGAATTACGAAGTTGAGATCCCAAGAAGGATTGTTGGATAGGTGAGCTAGAAGAAAGCTTGCAAAAGGAGGGAAAGCGTTAAGAGGTAAACCTTTGGATCTTGGAGGTTAATCCCTCTCGTTGTTCCACCATTGCTTTTATGGAAGTGATGGTTTATGAATGGATGATTGAGTGGTAATGTTAGTATTATGGTATGTTTGCATTCATATAGTATTGTTGTGTCATTGGAGAAAGGGCCAGTGGACAAGCACTAGGGGCTAGGTTGTATGCTTAGTGGAAAGGACTAAGATGCAACTGAAGCGTGTGTGATGATTTGATTGTTTAATTCTGTGGCCATTTGAATGCATGAGTATGCTGTAATTAAATCATTACTGTTATTGCCTCTGGATATATGATGCATTACATGCCATGTGGATACTAACCCTTCATGCAGGAAGTGAACTCTGGGGTTGGAGGAGCTCTCCAAGAACCCTGGGTTTATTGAGTTTTATCTCACCCCGTGTTGTGGGGCATCATTTCAGGTACGGTTAGAGGTGAGGTTGACAGAGGCAAGAAGCGTGAGTAGATGGTACCTGACATATGATATTTTGAAATTCCTTACATGTAGAGATACCATGTATAGGACTTCTATTTGAAAGTCAATTGTCATATGTATATTATGCTTTATTGGATGGACTTAGCCTATGCTCATCTCTTCTGGTACCTCTTTTGTTGCTGAGAGCCAAGGGATTGAGCATAGTTATTTTGTAGCTAAGTCCCATGAATTGTAATTAAGACTTGTTGTAATTAATGAAGATGTATGTATGATGAAATGGTATGCATGCTTCTCCTAGTGTATGAGTACCTTGAAAGACTAGAATTCATGCATTGAAAGAATGATATGATTGTCAATTAGGTGAAAGAAGACCTCTAGGTTGAAAATTCAAGTAAAAGTAAAGATATACCATCTTGTTGTCCAATTTTCGTATCTTATATGATAGATTTGGATCCTTGTGTCCTCATGGAAGTTGTAGATATTTTTCTTAGCTTTCCATAGAAACCAAGATTGTGTAAATTAGATGAGTAAAACTCAAGTTATGAGTAGAATAGCATAGGAGGTCAAATTGTCCTGTTTTGGGTGTTTGCTGCAGTACATCCACGCTCTGAGCGTGAGATTCACGCTCTCAGCGTCAACCTTTCTGTTTGCCCACGATATGGGCGTGGGGGTCTTGGGAATTTTGCACCCTTTTCTTAGAAAATGCGTAACTTGAGCTACGGTGCTCCGATTTGAGCGCGATTTGAAACCACGCGTAGCTAATGAAAAATCGTATAACATATTAGAACTTGGAGGCCATAAAATTAGAATAGGAATTTCTTAAATAAATAAAGGATGGATGCATTTATTTTCTAAAAGCAATTAAAGTGGGACCTACAGTGATAATTCCACATATAGTTGAGTTATAATCACAATACATGGATTGATTTAATTACGGAAATGGATTTTGAACAAAAGCTTTTATAAATAAAAAGGAAAAAAGGTTATCCGTGTTTTAATTCAATCTTGTGATTGTAACTGCGCATAATGTCGTACGTAATGATAACAATCCAGTTCTAGAACAGGGTGTTACAGGGACCCATCTCCACTTTGTGTGTGTAGGAAACTTGTTTATCTTATGCAACATAAGATAAATATAATCCATTATTTTAACTTCTAGAAATTAATTGAATTGCCAACATAGGTGGGCACAGTTGGCTAAGGGTTTGGTCTATATCCCTTAAGGGCGTGGGTTCAAACCCCGCTGGAAGATGTGAGGACTTAGTTGGTGGGTGATATGTAATCCCTTCCAGAAATCCTCAAAGAGGTTGGAGAGTCTTACCTGACTCTAGTGGGATACCGGTGTCTAACCTCACTTAAATTTTTTTGTATTAAAAAAAATTAATTGAATTAATTATTGAATTTTGGCTTTAGTGAATATTTGAATTATGATTTGAAAAATTATGTTACGATCATTGAATTTGGGTTTTACTCTAGTAGATGTTGAATATGAAAATTATGATATTATTGGATAATGGATTTGAAAATTATGATGGATTAGGAAATTATGATATTCTTGAAAAATTGAATTTGGAAATTATACTCTTGATTAAATTGATGTGAAAATTACGAAAAATATTTGAGAAAATTTTTCCAATTATAAGGATTTTGACAAGATTGAATTTTATTGATTGTGTGTGATTAATAAATAATAGTGGAAAGATAGCTTTTGAGATGGTACCTCCTGAAAGTGATGAACACAACTTTTGGGCTTTATGCCTTCGATATTAAATGATGAGACAATGATGTTTTCTGTTCTTTCCAAAGTGGTATATGGCAACAGGGTTTTCAGGGGTACTAGTAGCAACTTTGGGAAGAGGTGTGCACACTAGAATTTGATATTTTGATATGGCCAATTTTGATTATATGTGACTGGCAACAGAGTTTCTCGGATCTACCATGGTTCTCTTCCCACTAAATACACAATGAATTAAATAAAGATTAATATAAGGGAAAAGTGTGTGTCCTTTAAAAGGACACACACTTATATCCTTTTAAGAGAGATAAAGGAATAAACTATGGGAGAGAGAGAGTGGAGGAAAAAATTTATAATTCAAATTTAAAAAGATACACTACATTTATCTAAAAGGACCATTCTTTTAAATGATAGACATTTTTCCCTTAATATAATTAATAACGAGTTGATACTTGATTTGAAATTTTGAATTATATTACTTGATTTGATTATTATGATTATATTTTAATTTTTAATTTTTGTATATTGGATTGGGATTACCAGTTTTGCTGACTATTTGTGTGTGTTTCGCTGCAATGATCCTTCGGGAGAGTAGATTTTGAGTGAAACAAGTTGCAAAGGATGGGGCTAGTTGTGGGCAGTGAGGATAACGACTCAGATATTTCTAGCTAGTTCCTAAGTTTGGAAATTTTATGAGATTTAATAAATGCATAAGACATATTTCCTTTAGTTAAACTTTAGTCTTTGGTTTTATTTTAATGTAATAAATTTTGCCTTGCACTTGTCCATAGTACAAGTGTGGCGGTAACATTTCCCAAATTTGGTTAATTTAAATTTCACAGTTATTTATGATTTTAGAAATTTTATGTTATTATAAATTGTTAAAAATTTGGGGGTGTTACATGGGACTATCCTAAGACTAGGTGAATGTGTGGAATTATGTGGGGTTTTGTGGATCAAAGAACCACCCACCCATGGTCTAATATGGTTAAGTAAAAAGAAAACTGGTTATGACTTGTGAATTGGCATAGGATTGGCATAAGTGTGAAGAAATGAAAGTAAACAATAAAGTGTATGTCTTGTAATTACATGGCATTGTAGCATTTTATTGAGTTTTGTTTTGGTTTCTTTCTCTAGGTGTGCCTAGGGACTGTGAGCATTTGGATTCCTTTGAAGCAAGATAAGTAGTTTGTTCTTCAAGTAAACAAATTGTAAACTCCAAGAGGTAAGCTCTATGTTTAACGAGTCTTTTCCTGCTTTAGTGCTCCACCATGGTTAGTGAACTATGATTGGGTTGTATGATTGTATTTGATGATTTGTAATTAGGGATGTGCAAAATGTCCAATTGATCCAAACCAAATTAAAAACCAAACCAAACCAAATTAAAAAAATTGATTTTTTTAAAACCGGTTAAAAAATATATCCATTTTTTAATTTTAAATATGGTTTGGTTATCCATTTATCAAATGGATTAGATACACTGGATAACCAAATCATATCCACTTTTTTTTTTGAATTTTAAATAACTATTGAGTTTGACAACAAAATCGAACTTCCAACCGTTTGTCTAGCATCAGATCCTACTCGGGTCAAAAAGTATGCATACACCCATTTACATTCTTTTGTGCTAAAACTATTCATTGTATTTTTTATGCTGCATGGAAACTTGGTTTATGGAACTTCAATTGTTTTGTCTGCTAGAGCTGATAGTAATATGAATGCTTTTTTCTTCACCCCTTGAATTTTTCTGGTAAGTGTAGAAGCTACAGAATGATTTTGATGTATCATTTGAGTAAATATTTTTTAGGCTGGATACAAACACAAATTACACAATGAAAACAGTAACTTCTCATACACATGGTTAATATATAAAATTCACAGATAAGTATAAAATCCTAAATTAGAATAAAGCTAATATTTCATAAGTGAGCATTAGTCATTATAGAAGTAACTGTTGTAATATCCATCTATATTGATTTAAAAATATATAAGATAACTAAAAAAAAGCTAAAACTATCACTAGGTATCCAGTAGTATCAAATATAGTGTGTCTATGATTGATATGGAAACCATTTCAAATATGGAAGAGACAATTACTATTAAGTATGAAATGATGTTTAGATATAATATTTGATGTTTTATGTTATTAATTATTTTATTTTATTTTATAAAAAAAACGCAACTCATCAAAGTCTTAAATTTGTTATAAAATCGATTTTAATTTGATAACCGGTTTTTGATTCAAAATCGGTTTTGATTCAAAACCAATTTTGATTCAAAACCAGTTTTGATTTAAAACCGGTTTTGAATTAAAACAAGTTCAAAACCGGTTTTCAATCAAAATCGGTTATAATCCATAAACTGGTTTTGGAACCGGTTTGGAAAAATGAAAACCGGTTTAGAAAAATGAAAACCGATTTTTAAAATATAAAACTGGTTCGGTTTGAAAACCAAACCATTTAAAACCGGTTCGGTTTGGTTTTTGAAAAAAATCGAACTGAACCGCTCCATGCACATCCCTACTTTGTATAGATGCATTCATATAGAGCTATTTGATAACATGATATGATTTGTTCTAATGTGAATTCTGTATTGATCTTTGGCCATTGATTGTTTGTGTACTGATGTCTGCTTGGGATCCTCTCTCGGGACTGACTGTGTACACCTCTGATATGTTCTGGTTCCGCTTGTGTCCCCCCTTGGGAATGACAACGTACGCCTCTGATAAGATATGTACATATGCTTTGTTCTGTTATGATATCTGTTATATGATATTTTGTATACTCTGTATCTGACTCTCATGCAGGAGTGGGTACAGGGATATGGAGAATTCTCTATAAACCTGGAACTTATTGAGATTTGTTATCTCACCCCATTTGGGGACATCATTTCAGGTGTACAGATTGCCGATGAGCTTACACGGGGCAGGGATACGACCCGTGAATAAAGTATATCGCGGACCGAATTTTTGGGTAGCAGTCTGCTACCATTATTTTGGAGGATTGTGATTTGCATTAGTATTCCATTTATTTTGGTGGATCATGATGTCTGATCTGTTACTTTATATATGGTCTGTATATGTTTTGTACATGTTTTTCGCTTTGATGCATGTACAATTATGTATTCAAGCATGTTGATATTATGATGTAGTATTCAGTTATATGATTACTTGTTGGATATGCATGTTGTTAGACATAGTGGCACGGAGCCAAGTTTGTGCATGCGCCCATGGATGAGTATATGGTCCTATATGGATATCTGGTACTTCTGAAATCATATATTGTATAAACTGTTTATCAGGATACCTTGAGAGTGAGATTTGCAAATCCCCGTTTGTTCGATTTACAGACGTCACTCTGTCCGATTTTTGTCTCCGTCAAATAAGAATTAAACTAGCAGAAGTATGCAATGTGATATATCATGTGAAAAAGGATTAAAGAAAAGAAAAAAATAGCTCGTATTTTCGTAAGTTAAGTCTTCTGTTGTTTTTGTTTAGTATCATATGTATGTTAATTGAACTGACTCGAGACGAAAATGTTGCAATAGGAATCGAACTCATGATCTTGTGGTTATCTTGATTTTTATATCATGATAAGCAATCAATTCAAACCAAAATCTTAAATTTAGAAGTGAAGGTCCATTAATAGTTTTTATATAATATTTCTCTAATATATTCTCTTAACTGTTCAATTTTTTGTTATTATAAAATGTCCCTTAAGTAGGATGCTATTATTATTATTATTATTATTATTATTTGATCAAATTGTATTGAAAGATTGAAAGTGTAACCAACATCCAACTTCAAATGCATTTTTTAAAGGAAAAATATTCTGCCACGTCGATACAGTATTTTTGGCACATTGACCTTTAAGTGTCAGTTTAAAAATAAAAATAAAAAAAATTCTCAATTCTCACTTTTTAGAAAAAATCATTGCCAAGCTTACACAGATAGGTGCAATTTATACAAACTTCATTAATTTCTTTCCCTCCCAATAGGAAGAATTACGGTGGACATCATTGAGGTTTGCAGCTGATGAAGATGAAGCAGTCCATGGCACATTAATTGACAAGCTCAAACTTTGTGCCTCTCTTATTTTATTTTCTTCCATCTTACTGTAAAAATTTCTCAATGCCTCCAACCTCATCTCATCCATTACCTCACTTTGATGTGAAACAAATTCTGGAACCACTGTTATGCCTTCAAGTATGCTTAGCACTGAAGACATGGTTGGCCTAAGGTTTGAAGTGGCATTGGTGCATAGGAGTGCCACTTTGACTATCATCATTACCTCCTCTTCATTGAAATCTGAAACCAACCTTTTATCAACTAGCTCCATTAGATTACCTTTCTCTTCCAATAGACGTGCCTGTTGAAAGGAAAAACAAAAATCAGTTTGATTTTAGAGTCTTCTACAACTGAAACCCACAAGATGTAGCTGAGCAACAAGTATTTAACACACTTCCAATTGAACATTTTTTATGGAAAAGAAACTATAATTTCAAAAAGCTAACATGAAAATGATATCATTTAGATGCCTTCAAGTTGGTAAATTTTCAGAAAATCACAGTAAGGGAGAAATGCATGCAATGTTTCTCTTCCAGAGTGGTACAAGATGAAAATTGAATATAAGTGTATTTTGTATTATGAATATTCAGATTCACATAAACAATGGAGAACATCATGAATGAAATTTACCCAATCAAGAAGATAGACTGCTTCTTCCTTTGACCGGTGAAGAGTGTTTCTTGTTCCACTTACAATCTCCAAAACAACAATTCCAAAACTATAGACATCTGCTTTGTCGGTCAAATAGCCATGCATGGCATACTCAGGAGCCATATATCCACTGCATAATTGAAATACATCATTGCAGCAACATCAAATTAGACAAATACTCAGATTGATAAGGCTTGTCATTGTACATTGTCCTTTGATTTATACCTTTTAAAAACATTAAGACAAAAGAAGTTATAATAAAGGAACTCACTAGGTCCCAGCTATTCTGGTGCTTATGTGAGTATTATCCTCCTCATTCAGCTTGGCCAAACCAAAATCAGATATCTTTGGGTTCAAGTCTTCGTCAAGCAACACATTAGCAGCCTTAAAGTCTCTGTGAACAACTTTCAGTTTTGATTCTTCATGCAAGAAAGCTAAACCTCTAGCAATACCGACACAAATCTTCTTCCTTGTTGGCCAGTTCAACTTTAAACGGCATTCTTCTGGGCCTTTTGTGAGTATAACAGAAATTAGATAGCAAGATCATTTATCCAAGCATTCTTTTAAGAGTGGAATATCTCAAAAAAATAAAAATATTAACCAAAGTTGAGCATATAAGGAAATGATGTACCGAATAAAGCTTTTGCAAGGCTATTGTTTTCCATGTACTCATATACTAACAACAACTGATCTCCCTCAACACAACAGCCATAGAGTTTAACAAGACAAGGGTGTTGCAAAGCTGAGATCATGCCTATCTCATTTATGAACTCACGTTTTCCTTGCTCTGATTTAGGTGAAAGCTGTTTGACTGCTATTACTGTGCCATTAGACAGAATGCCCTGCATGTAGGGAAAGATATACATTTTTTTAAGGAATTTTCAGAACAAGAATTCAAATTACAATAGATCAAACAAAAATCAATAGATGTTATATCATTCGGGTACCTTATAAACAGGACCAAAGCCTCCTTCTCCAATCTTATTGGAAATATCAAAATTATTTGTTGCTGCTTTGATTTGATGTAAGGTAAATAAACCAGTTTGCAAATCTAAATCCTTCAACTCTGCTAATACAAGCAAACCAACATGAGAGATCTATTATCCTGAGAAGCATTCACTTCATGAAAGCTTTTAGAAGAATAGGCATTATTTCACATCATTATTTCCCAGAAAAAAGGTTAACATTTAGTCACCAATGTTTTAATTAAATTCACCATTCATAGCCTGTTACTTTTGTCATATGAATTAGCAAGATAATAACTAGAATCAATGGACAAATATCATGATAAAAAAGCAAATTTTATGCTTGATAAGTCCCGAATGTCTCAGCAAGATGGTCGGCAATAATGTTAACTTTTAAGTAATTGCTTTGTAATCACCTCTCACTAGTAAATGCTTTTTCCCTAGATAACCTCTCCACCAAAGCATGCCAACAACAATCAAGATGACAGCAACCACTGCTGCAGCCACAATTGCAACAATAGCCCCTGCAGACATGCTACCTGTAGAGTCTGCATGATTATAGCACAAGAGCCATAAGTGTCAGATGATACCATCAAGGTAGCAACAGAAGAATTAAAACTTAGAAGACAACTCACCACAGTTGACAGATATATACTTGACAGATATAGCTGATATAAGAGGACCATTTATTGATTTATATGGGATATATGTTGTCCCTTTGCCAGCCCAATAGAAGCGGATCTCTAAGTCATTACTACTCACATGAGCAGGAAATTGTTTTTTAAGTTCCTTGCCAACTCCTTGTGCTTCATTTGCAATGTTGAAATCCTTCAGTACCCGCTTTCCCTATATTTCAAATACAAACCTAAATGGTGTCTGATATTTACAAATTTAAATAAGAAGTCTGAAATCTGTTTAAAATAGTAGCAACTCATTCTACACATGAAGTCAAAGTACTGATTATAGCCATTTCTATACATATAATGTGATGTTCTATATATTAATACATGACAAACATTAATTTGTATATATAAAAAAAAAACCACTCTCCATTAAACCCGACTAGCGAGCGTGGGGTGGAGGAAATCCTTGTACGCAGCCTTACCCTTGCATAATTACAAAGAGGCCGTTTCCTCGATTCGAACCCATGACCTTTCAGTCATGAAAGAACAGTTTTACCATTGTCCGGTTCGTCCCCTTATTAATTTGTATATATATATTTAAAAAAAGAGTTCATGACAAGGATGAAAACATTGGTTGATGATGATCCTAAGCTGCTAATGAACCATTTACCTGAATGTAGACATCAAATAGACGCCTCCCTAAGCTACTATATGTGTTATCATCAGTGAACATTATCTCAGCAAAGCGGAGCTTTACTGTGTAGTCCCCATTTTCCAGGCAAAATCCATAGTAAGTCAAAGATACGGGGGAAATACGTGCATTCTTATATAGTTCAGTATCAGTCATATAAAGCCTAGTTTGATTTTCTGAGGTATAGGGAAGAAATGGTGAAGTATTATTATCCAAGAAGTGGCCGGTGTTGCTAATTGCCCAGTTGCCTCTACTCTCTTTATATACTGCTGGTCCAGCTGGATCAATATCTTCTTCATATGTTATACCTCCAATGGTAGTCTGTTTTCCACCACAATTTATATGTAGGGATTTAACGGCTGTAAGAAGGAAATGGTCAGAATTCAGAAACTATTAGATAAGTTAAGTACAACAAGAAACAGACACAAGAAAAAGAAATTCATTCTAATTATATTGTTCCATTCTCTCATTATTTTTCTTTATCCTTTTGCACATGTTGGTAAAGGAGTAATGGAGTATTACAACATTAGCCTGGCAATATGAGTAAGATAGCTGAGTTTGCATGAATTACATATTTGATTAACTTACTTTTAGTACAGATTCTAGTGCTGCTGTTGCAAGAAACTGGTCCTCTGAGGGAATAAGGAGGGGAGAGAACACGGTCAGTATAATCAAAACGTAAAACAACATAAGTTGCACAAGCGAAAGGAAATGGAAAGTGTATATATATCTACATGTTATAAAGGTTAATTCCTTAAATATAAAACTTACGAGTTATTCCTTCGAAAGCTTGCAAACAAGTTCCTATGGCACAGAAAAAGATGGTTAACACTAAGATAGCTTCATGACATTACCCAAAAAAAAAAAAAGAGCACATGAATGTAAGTATTCATACACATTTTGTGCATAACATGTCTCTGGTTCTTGGTTTTCAACAGTGAAGTTGTTATATGAAAGATCTCTGCATAATATGTATTGTATAAGTCAACTCAGAAGCTTTGAAGATAAAACAAATTCATTGACTTAGCCAAGAAAATTAATTTTGAAATAGAAACGCATCATTGCTGTGTTTTATAAAGGAAAATTTACAACTTAAATGCCTGACTAGCAGAGTCCTAAAATGATTTCTCAGAATGATAAGTACGCAAGTTTTTGCTAGCTACAAAACTCGAACAATTCAAATTATTTTTATTTTTTTTTTCCCTATACATATTCTGATTCTTCTTAAAAATGGGATAGTGTTACAGAAATCATTCCACAAACATTTGATGATGGAAAGAGAAATGATAAACTATGATAAGAATGCCATTTTGAAATATTTGTTAAACAAATCACTGATAGGAGAGAGACGATGTTTAAGGTCATGGAAACTCATGAAAATACAACTGGTGGTCCAAGGGCTAAATTATTCATCTTATCATATTTTATAAGCCTCATTTATTTTTATGATTAGTTGACCACTAAAAGATTAATTTAATTAAATTATCATGGTATTTTACATCCTCTTCATTGCAGCAAAAATTATGCACGTACCCAATCAGCTATGATAAGTTTGTCAGAAATTAATCCATGAAACTTATAGGCGATCAAGGACTAAATGCTTGAGATATAAGATACAAGTATGAAGAAGTAAATTTACAGTTCCCAAAATAAAAAAATAAAAAACTTTTTTCACTGGATATGGAGAAGAAAAAAATATGTGAATCTAGTAATTCTACCACAATGAATATCTGAGTTATTCAAGGGAGCATATAAATATCGTTTGAAATAGAACTCACAAATTTCTATCAGTGCTCTTTGTCAACTCAGGCACTGGTCCAGAAAGAAAGTTTCCTGTTAAATATCTAAAGTAAAATAATATATAAGAACCAAAGCATAGAACATATTAGTTACTGATGAACCATCAAAAATTCAAATATGATAAATAAACTAGTCATACGTAATGATTCCCAGCCTTGATTTCCTTTTTCTCTCCAGAAAAAGAATTCAATTAATTTGAATTGTCCCATTGATCCTTCTATTAACATAGTAAGTTATTTAGTTTGATTCCATAGATATCTTGATTTAAAGAGAGATGCTAGCTGACAAAGATTTATTATATTTTTGCCCATGCAGGGACAGCATCGCGATAGAGAAAACTATTGGGGCATAGTATAAGATCTGATAGTATAAGGTCTGATTGTATAAGATCTGATTGGATTTTAATAATATCCAGCGTTTGACACAGTATTGTATAAAGAATATATTGTATAAGATAACATCATCTAGTATTTGGTAATGCACTGTATAATACTATATATGATAAAAATAAATATTTTTAATAAAAATATCCTTTAATAAAGAATTTATATAATTCTTCAAAAATGTCATATGATATTAATTTTTATAAAAATTTATTGATCAGTGTGTCCAAAATATATATTAATTTTCATAAAAATAAAAATATTCAATATTTTAAAAATTAACATATTGAAAAATTAATTTTTATTTTAATAGATTAATATTAAAATAATATATTAATTTTTGAGAATTACATTGGTCAATGATATTAATACATCAATCTCTTAGCAGGCCTTATCCCTCACCCTTAGGCCCGATTAAGTTATACATCGTTTTGATGTATTAAAGGATTATGTTGTATAAGCTTATACTATACGATGGTCACACCAAACAATTGAAAAAAATCATACGAATGTCAGATCAGAACTTTAAAAAACAAGTCAGATCATAACAAGGATTTTTATCTATGCACATAGTTTTTCGGTCACTTTTTTCATTATTTCAATTCTCGCTTGGGAATTGATCCAATTCCTCTGCATTAAGCCACTATTCCATAGAAACTAGTTTTATATAAGATTTTGATGCAAAAAGGTACTGTAAACAAAAGAAAATTAAAAAATGATGTGCTTGAATCCTTTTTCAATATGGATTTTGGATCCTGTAAAATGAAGGATGCAATTTAGAGTGTAGAGTGCAAGTGGTACCACTAAAGGGAAAATCAAGGGAGTGAATTCTCATATACCCATGATTTGTTATCTAGGTGCTTGTATTAACTGTTAATTTTTTTCATCAACAGTTATCAATTTTTCAATTTTCCAAGAGGGCGAACCTAGAGCAATGATAAAGTTGCTTGCTACGGCTTACCAAAAAAAAAAAGTTGCTTGCTACGATCCCATTTGCAAGGTATAGGACTTGAAATCTCACATTGATTGTATAGCTAACTAACGTAGGATTTATAAGATCTTGAGCACTTTCATTAGCTTTTGGGTGATGCATCCCAAAGTTCTTCGAATTCAAAAAATAGTCTCTTTACAAATATATAAGCGTAAGACATGGATATCCATGTATACTTCACTTGAAAGAAAAGTGTATTTGAAATATTATTGAATTGTGTAAATAAAATGTACAAAGGGGTCTCTATTTATAGAGAATGAAAACCTTAATTTTTGACCTAATGGGCTTGGCCCAATACAACAAATAATAATAATAAAAATAACCAATATTTATAACACTCCCCCTCAAGCTGAGGAATAGATATTTATCATTCTCAGCTTGCTAGTAAGTTCTTGAAATCTGTCTGGAAAAAGTCCCATTATTAATAGATCAGCCAATTGACGCCCAGTGGGAATGTATGGAGTGGTAATCAACCCGCTATCAAGTTTCTCTTTGATGAAATGGCGGTCGACCTCAATATGTTTAGTCCGATCATGTTGAACCGGATTATGAGCTATACAAATAGCGGACTTATTGTCACATAGCAGCTTCATAGGTCCCTCACATTTTATTTTGAGATCATCAAGTACAATTTTTAGCCACAGTAACTCACAAATGCCTTGAGCCATAGATCGAAATTCAGCTTCTGCACTTGACCTGGCAACCACATCTTGTTTCTTACTTCTCCATGTCACTAAGTTACCACAGAGAAACATGCAATAACCAGTGGTAGATCGACGGTCAGTCACAGATCCAGCATAATCAGCATCAGTGTAGACTTCTAAAGAGAGATTGCCATCACGTCGGAATAACAATCATTTACCAGGAGTAGCTTTAAGATACTGAAGAATTCTCTCTACTACCTGCATGTGTTTCTCCTTTGGATCGTGAATAAACTGATTGACAACACTAACAGCATAAGCTAGGTCTGGTCTAGTATGAGCCAGATATATCAATTTCCCAACTAGACGTTGATATTGTCCTTTATCAACTGGAGGACTTTCTTCTTCATAGCCTATCTTGTGATTCTGCTCAATAGGAGTATTAGAGGGTTTACACCCGAGCTTTCCTGCTTCTTTGAGAAGATCAAGAATATATTTCCTCTGGCTGATAAAAATTCCTTTGCTCGAATGAGCTACTTCTATTCCTAGGAAATATTTCAGTTTCCCAAGGTCTTTGACTTCAAACTCAGTCAGAGGCAAGCCGTGTTTGCAAAATCTGTCTCTGCACAAAATCATCACCTGTGATAATAATATCATCAACATATACAAGGAGCACAGTAAGCTCCCCATTTTAGGAGTGCTTGAAAAAAAGAGTGTGATCTCCTTGACTCTGTCTGTATCCTAAGGTCATCATAACCTTAGTAAACTTTCCAAACCAGGCACGAGGTGACTGCTTCAATCCATACAAGGCCTTTTTTAATCTACAAACTTTATTTTCTCCCTTCACAGAATCAAAACCAGGCGGGATTTCCATATAGACTTCTTCTTCTAACTCACCATTGAGGAAAGCATTTTTCACATCAAATTGATTTATATCCCAATTGTAATGGGCAACAAGGGATAACAAGACTCTCACCGTATTCATCTTTGCAACTGGAGCAAATGTTTCTTCATAATCAATGCCATAGGTTTGAGAGTAACCTTTGGCAACTAATCGAGCCTTGTATCTCTCAAGAGTTCCATCAGAATTATATTTCAGGGCATAAACCCATCTGCACCCTACTGCTTTCTTTCCATTAGGTCCATCAATAACCTCCCATGTTTTATTTTTCTCCAATGCATCCATCTCCTCTTGCATGGCTTGAGCCCAATTCCCATCTTTCAAGGCTTCATGTACTGATTTTGGGATTGCAATAGAGTCTAGTGCTGAAACAAAGCTTTTGTACTGCACAGAAAGATTAGCAGAGGAAACAAAATGGGAGATAGGGTATTGAGTACAAGAGGTACAAGATTTCTTGGGACAAGATCTTTTTCCTTTTCTAAGAGCAATGGGTAAATCATCAGAATCAGTAGTAATGGGTAAGTCATCAAAAGTATTAACATCATGATCAGAAATATGAGATTCAGGACTTACCAGTGGTTCAGACGATTGAGGTGGCTGTTGAGGCAATGTGGGTTGTTTCCTTCTTTGATATACCAACTGAGGTGTCATAATCTTTCGTATCTCTGGTGTACTTGATGTATCAGTCACAGGAGGATCACTCATAGGAAGATCACTCACAAGAGGATCAGACACAAGAGGATCACTCACAGGAGGTTCAGACACAGGAGAAACAGAAATAGACACTGAAGACTCAAAGAAGGGAGGTGAAGGATTCTTCCCCTGAAAATGAGGACCTTGGAAAAAGGACTCAGATTCCTGAAATGTAACATCCATAGAAACAAAAAATTTCCTACTACCAGGGTGATAGCACTTGTATCCCTTCTTATCAGGAACATAACCAAGAAAAACACATTTAATAGCCCTAGGGTCTAACTTACTGCGATGATGTTTATGAACATGAACAAAAGCAACACACCCAAACACTCGTGGAGGAAGACTCATAGTTGCAATAGAAGGGAAAAAAGAAGTTATAGAGTGAGTAGGACTTACATGGTCAAGGACCCGAGTGGGTAAACGGTTGATCAAGAATGCTGCAGTAAGAATAGCATCTCCCCAATAGTATTTGGGTACATGTGTCTGAAACATTAATGCACGAGCCACTTCAAGAAGGTGACGATTTTTTCTTTCAGCAACCCCATTCTGTTGAGGAGTGTCAACACAAGTAAGTTCATGAATCATACCGTTATTTCGTATAAATTGGGAAAAACTGTGATTAACATATTCAGTACCATTATTTGTTCTTAGTCTCTTGATTTTTCTACCAAATTGGGTCTCAACCATTTTATAAAATTGAAAGAACAGTTGTGGTACCTCAGACTTTTCACGCATTAAGTATACCCAAGTTACACGAGTGCAATCATCAATAAAAGAAACAAACCATCTATTTCCAGAAGCATGAGGAACTTTAGAAGGACCCCAAACATCAGAATGAATAAGATCAAAAGGTTCAACACTGTTAGTACTACTAGAAGGAAAAGACACACGATGATGCTTAGCAAACTCACAAACATCACAATGAAAAGACTCAACAGGCTTAGACAAAAATAATGACGGAAATAAAGACTTGAGTAAACCAAATGGAGGATGTCCTAATCACTTATGATGAGGCCAAATCAAAGAATCAGCAGTTGATTGACCATGAGTAATCAAGATGTGATCTGTTACTTTATTCACGGGAGATTGTGACACCAGATAGTACAACCCACCTTGCCCTTTAGCACTACCAATCGTCTTCCCCGTGGCGAGATCCTGAAAAACACAATGGGTAGGGAAGAAGGTTACAGTACAATTCAAATCTTTTGTAATTTTATGAATAGAAAGAAGATTCGTGGAGAGTTTAGGAACATGAAGAGTATCTTTAAGATGTAAGGACTGCTGTAAGTTTATGTCACCAGAATCCGCAACTGATGTATGTGAGCCATCAGCTATGGCTATTGTATGAGTTCCAATGGTAGGATGATAAGAAGTAAAGGAGTCAGCACAACAAGCCATATGATCAGTAGCACCAGAATCAACAACCCAAGAATGTTTAAAATCATTACATGAAGAAAGGAAAGAATGAGTTTTGGAGCTCATACCAGTCATAGCCAAAATACTAGTATCAGATGGCTTACTCAGATAATCAAGGATGGTTCGGAGCCGTTCCAACTCATACTTATCTGGACGAAATGCAGGTTGGGTCTCATTAGGTGCATGGGTTATTTCAGAGGAAGTAAAATGCGCTTGACCACACATCCTTGCCATCTTTTCTAAGACACTTTGTTTTCCATGGAGCCGAAAGCATAAATCCTTGATATGACCTGTTCTTTTACAATAAGAACACCATCGATCATCTCTCTTAGGTCTAGAAGATGCACCACCATAAAACTTTGTAAAGGAAATCCTTTGAGAAAAGGCTATACTGCAGAAAAACAGTCAACGAAAAAGCTCCAAGAAGCCAAAAAATTTGGAAAAAAATACCAAACGAAGTCCGATCAATGAAAAGAGCACAGATCCAGAAAGAACAGGAAGAGACAAGCAGAACTGCACTCGTCCGCGGCCAAAATAAGGCTGCACGCGCCGTTGGAAGTGGCTGCGCATGGGCTTCACGCGCTGGAGGTAAGGTGGCGCGTGGGCTGTCTTCTCCGGCTGAAATTTTGGCACGGTGGTCGTCCGGCGGTGGCGGTCCCTTCTGTGGTTGGTCGGAGTTGAAAGGCGGCCGAAAAACGATCAAAACGCGAAGAGAAGGATGCAACCTTGTTGGCATTGTTGAGCGTTGATGAACAGTGACCGTTGATGAATTGTGAGGGAAAAAACAAAAGGATCTGATCTTGCTACTGAGTAACAAAGAAAAATAAGAGAAACAGTGATCTCTCGGTCCAAGAGGTCCCCGGAAAATTTTTTCCAGAGGCGGCTGATGGCAGCGAGAGACCGGAAAAAGGAATAAAAGGTTTCGTAGGCGCGGAAGCAGAGCCCTTCAAGATCGAGAGCTCTGATACCAACTTGAAAGAAAAGGGTATTTGAAATATTATTGAATTGTGTAAATAAAATGTACAAAGGGGTCTCTATTTATAGAGAATGAAAATCCTAATATTTGACCTAATGGGTTTGGCCCAATACAACAAATAATAATAATAGAATAACCAATATTTACAACAACTTCAAAAAGGGTTCATCCCTGATTCATAAAATTTCCCCGTTTCATCGTGCACCAGTCACAAACTTGCTATGGTCTAGTTAAGCTACACTAGGTTGAAGAAAATTGTACATGTGTCTGTCTGAGTTGAGTTTTCTCTTCAACGATTTAATCAGGTTTAAACAGCTAACACCAAAGACATAACTTGAAATTTTTATGTAAAGAAACTGTAAAGAATCTTGGGATACATCACCCCAAAAGCTAGCTTAAAGTGTGGGAGTGCCCAAGGCCTTATAAACTTCACATTAGTTGCACATACAACCAATGTGTGACTATATATCTCAACACGCCCCCTCACATGAGAGCCCTTTGGGCTTGAAGCGTGGACAATGCAACAGGCCCAGCCTACCTGTGCTAAGAAACTCCACAAGAGAAAGTGGGGGGCAGCGAGGCTTTGATACCATGTAAAAAACCTTGGGATATGGTATTGTAAAGAACCTTGGGATACACCACCCCAAAAGCTAGCTCAAAAAGTGGGAGTGCCCAAGGTCTTATAAAGACCACATTAGTTGCACATACAACTAATGTGGGACTATATATCTCAACACGCCCCCTCACACGAGAGCCCATTGGGCTTGAAAAGTGGACAATACAACAGGCCCAGCGTACCTGTGCTACGAAACGCCACAAGAGAAAGTGGGGGGCGGCGAGGCTCTAATACCATGTAAAGAACCTTGGGATACACCACCCCAAAAGCTAGCTCAAATGGTGGGAGTGCCCAAGGCCTTATAAACTTTACATTAGTTGCACATACAACCAATGTGGGACTATATATCTCAACAGAAACCATTATAGATATTATAGACATTAAACGAGCAGAATGGAGTATAATATCTGAAGCCTAATATAAATTTGATTATTTATAAATAGAAAGTGGCTTCTACAGGGTAAGCAGCCAGAGTTTTGTAAATTAACTAAGGCTATTCAACATCCAAAAAATGTTTACTCCCCTTTTGAGTAAAATTAATATGGAAAATGTTTAAAAAATTCTTACATGTAGGTTGCTCCTGTTAAATCTTTAATATTTCTTGGAAAGTCTTCACTTAATTTGTTGTAGCTAAGGTCTCTGAAAGAGAAATTTTATCCAGAATAAGTTAAAGAATGCTAAAGAAAATAAACATCAAAATATTTATTATTTAGATGTAATGACCCCAAGATGCATTTATAAAATGGATGGAGCCATGCTACTAAATCTGACACTGCACAACATGCAGAAAACTCGAAACAACAGCATTTGATTTGTGTGTTTTTTTCATGAAATCACTTCTTTAATCAACCCTTTCGGTTTTCTGATTGGGTGGTTTAGGCTTTTCAAATTGCAAGTATCTTAACTGATCTTTAAATAATATAATCAAACAATATACAGAAAAGGAATGAATCACCACTTACAAGACTTGCAAAAGTGTCAAGTTTGCAAGATAATGAGGAAGTGTGTCATTAATATTGCAACTCCTTAATATCCTGTTAAACAATCAAATATGCGAATTCAGCAATAAAAAAAAAATCATATTTAGATTTTTGCTCTTTAAATTAGTGCCTGAGGTACTGACATGCAAAGAGAAAAAATAAAATAAAAAAGAAAATAATTAAAAACAATTCACTCACAATGTTTTCAGTCCTTTCATATTATCAACTCTAGGAAAAGTAGAATCAGTTCCATTCAAGTCACTAATCCTCCTGCATTCATATTTTGATTAAAAAATACAATTAGAAAGCAATTTAATTTTGAAACCCTGGTTATAATACAAAGTCCATACTTACAAGTCGATTAACTTTTGCAGAAACGAAATCCCAGAAGGAATTGGACCACTTAAACCACTCCCTTGAATCACTCTATAAAAAATAAGAACACATTTGCAACAGATGCAAAGATCAACAACGGAAATATAATCACACCTCATCAAAAAATAAATAATAAATAAATAAAAAACTTGTTCATACAGTTCTTCCAGACTTGTCCATCTTTGAATAAAATCAGGTATGTTGCCAGAGAACTGATTGTCACTAATTCGGCTGTCTCATGTGAGATTAAACATGCAAAGTTACTTATTCAGAATCCAAAATAACAATATAACTCAAAGTAACTACAGAAAAATCAAAATAAGAAGTTAAGAACCATACAATTCCTTCAATGTAGTAAGCCTAGCAAGAGTTCCAGGCAATTCTCCAGTAAAGTTGTTGGAGCTTAGATGTCTATAGCAAAAAGAAATTATCAACATTGATATTATGTCACCAATATTTTAACAACTCTTATAGTACAAAATTTTGTAGAAAGTATAGTGCCTCATAATAAGAATTAAAATGCAGGGCTTACAGTTGCTCAATGTGAGACAGATTTCCAAGTTCTGGAGGAAGATTTCCATAAAATTGATTGAATTCGAGGATCCTATCCATTTGAAATTAAGTTGCAATGAATATACTAATAAAAATTGAAATGAGATAGATTCTCAATCAATGAGAAAACCAGACACTCACAAACGTTTGAGGTTGGTTATGTTTGCTAGCTCAGTTGGGATTGGACCAGTTAATCGGTTACCAAGAAGTGAACTATTAGAAAACATAAATCAGATTAAACAAGGTAACATAAACAACACAACATAAAACAATACCATGATTTAACATAATCATATGCTAAAGACATATAATGAAGAAATATTATAAGAGCAAAGTAGAAGAGTAGTGAGAGAAAGCACACATTTGTTGAAGTTTTGAGGAGCCCCATTCTCTAGGAATTGTACCACTAAGGTAGTTACGGGTAAGGTCACTGTGCCAAAGCGAGAAAAATGAATGAAATGAATCATAGATTCACATTAAAACATTCACATACACTCAAGTCCATTGTTATTCAAAGAAGAGTATATTACATACATTTCTTGGAGGTAAGGCAACCTGATCAGTTCTGGTGGGAGCGTGCCTTGAAGATTTTGTGATTTCAGAACTCTGTCAGTTTATTTTCCATGAAAAATTGAAAATAATTAGAAAAAAATGTAATAAGATAAGCATTTATTTAGTGGGTAATTTATGTTTATTGTACCAGTCTCTTTTAATAATGCATAGATAATGAAAGTGTCATAATTTAACTGTTGAACAATGATATAAAAAAAAATTAAACATTACATAATAATAATATGTGTAACAGCTCCAAACCCTGTAGCATGATATTGTCCGCTTTGCCCCGCGCACAAGCACCGTCGAGCTCACGGTTTTGTTTCTTGGGACACCCTACAAAAGGCCTCACACTAGAAAAGGTATCCACACCCTTATAAAGCATGCTTCGTTCCCCTCTCCAACCGATGTGGGACATTACATCCTCCCCCACTGGGAATACAGCGTCCCCACTGTACACACCGGTCCAGGGCCAGGCTCTGATACCAAATGTAACAGCCCCAAACCCTGTAGCATGATATTGTCCGCTTTGCCCCTCGCACAAGCACCGTCGAGCTCACGGTTTTGTTTCTTGGGACACCCCACAAAAGGCCTCACACTAGAAGAGGTATCCACACCCTTATAAGGCATGCTTCGTTCCCCTCTCCAACCGATGTGGGACATTACAATATGGGTTTAACATTTTCTCCGAACGGAAAATAACTTATCTCCTATGACCAAAAACAATGTTGTTGTGAGATTAGGAGAAATGTGTTTTTGTCATTCCAATTTATTGTCGGATTATATTAGTCTTTATTATTATAATAAAAGACGTCACTTTACCCAATGGGTATAACTCAGTGCTGAGTACAGTAGAGAGAGAATCTGATTTCGATACCCACCTAGTAAATATGTGGGGAGAGATGAGGAGATTTAACTGTAATTAAGTTCGACTCAGAATTAATCTCATTAACAGCTTAAAGAGTTGAAGTTTGGATACTCAACACAAAGAGCTAATTAGCGTCGTTATATCCACACACAAAAAAACACACACACACACACACTTGAAAGAAAAAGGGTCTTTGAAATATTATTGAATTGTGTATTAATCTGATACAAAGAGGTCTCTATTTCTAGAGACTAAAAAACCTAATTCTTGACCTAATGGGCTTGGCCCAATACAACAAATACTAATAATAATAAAAGACCTAATATTTACAACACTCCCCCTCAAGCTGAGGAATAGATATTTATCATTCTCAGCTTGCTAGTAAGTTCTTGAAATCTGTCTGAAGAAAGTCCCTTTGTCAATAGATCAGCTAATCGACGTCCAGTGGGAATGTATGGAGTGGTAATCAACCCGCTATCAAGTTTCTCTTTGATGAAATGGCGGTCGACCTCAATATGTTTAGTCTGATCATGTTGAACCGGATTATGAGCTATACAAATAGCGGACTTATTGTCACATAGCAGCTTCATAGGTCCCTCACATTTTATTTTGAGATCATCAAGTACAATTTTCAGCCACAGTAACTCACAAATGCCTTGAGCTATAGCTCGAAATTCAGCTTTTGCACTTGACCTGGCAACCACATCTTGTTTCTTACTTCTCCATGTCACTAAGTTACCGCAAAGAAACATGCAAAAACCAGTGGTAGATCGACGGTCAGTCACGGATCCAGCATAATCAGCATCAGTGTAGACTTCTAAAGAGAGATTGCCATCACGTCGGAATAACAATCATTTACCAGGAGTAGCTTTAAGATACTGAAGAATTCTCTCTACTACCTGCATGTGTTTCTCCTTTGGATCGTGCATAAACTGACTGACAACACTAACAGCATAAGCTAGGTCTAGTCTAGTATGAGCCAGATATATCAATTTCCCAACTAGTCGTTGATATTGTCCTTTATCAACTGGAGGACTTTCTTCTTCATAGCCTATCTTGTGATTCTGCTCAATAGGAGTATTAGAGGGTCTATATAATACCCCTAACTTAAATAATTTAATTAATTACTTTTAATTTAGTACTTAAGCATGTATTAGTGAGTAAAATTAAGAATAGGGCCTAATTAAGTGAGTTGGGGTCACTTTTGAGGTAAAAAGTGTACTCAGTGAAAATTAAGGAGTATAAATGGGTGTAGGCAAAAGTACCCAAAATATAAAAATAAAAGTGCAAATATCTCTAGAAAAATATTCCAAACCTTTTGGTAAAGTTTGGTTGTGATTGGAGTTGAATAAATAGATGAGCCAATACCCGCTCAAAGCCACTTAACTAATGTTAAGTGACTTAAAACAATAGAACCCACTTCATCCCCCCCCCCCCCCCCCACACCCGTCGAGCAACAAGAAGAAAAGAAGAGAAGGAGAGGAGAAGGAGAGAAAGGAAGAGAGAAGAGAAGCCAAACCCTAGCCACTCTTATTCTCAACTATTTTCTTTGATCCAAAAGCCTAAACCACTCCAAATCTTCCCCTCTTTCATAATCCAAGCTTGGTTTTGAGTGGGAGTCTTTATGGAGTGGGATATCATCCTCCAAAAATCCGACCCATAGGAGAAAGTGAGGGATTTGTTGGCTTCTACCTCCATGGAAGCTTGAGGAACAACCTTGCCTTGTTGTGTGATCCATGGTGGTGAGTTTTCCACTTTCTTTCACACAAATTCCTTGAGTTTGCATGATTTAGGTTTTGATGAATAGTGTTTTTTGGGGTTTTATGAGTTTGAGTTTGATGGAGGCTTGGTGCCTTTGTAAATGTTGTTAGTGATGATAAATAAACAGTAGAAATGAGTTTAGATTGTCATTTGAGTATGGTTGGACATTTGAGTAGATCATGCTTGAGATTAAGGATGCTCTTGAATGTTAGGATATTGTTTGATTATAGAATTGATTGTGTTCCTTGTATTAATAGGATTGAGGCAAGAGAACCAAGTCGGTGTGACCAACCCTAGTGGTTGTGTGCAATTGAGGAAAGCTCAAGAACAAGGTAAACCTTTGGACCTTGGGGTTGATCCCATTGAGTGTTCCACCATACTCCATTGAGGAGAAATGGTTTATGAGATGTGATATGTAATTATGATAATAATTGTATGCTCATGCATTGATTCATGCATTGATACATGTTATGATTGATTGATGATTATTGGTTGATGTTTGATTGTTTAAGAGTAATTGAGGAATGGTTATAGAAGTAGCAATAATGAATGGGGTAATGGTTGAGGATTGTGATTGAGGTTATGAGTGATAGTATTATGATGAGGATGATTGGTAGGAACTTCCCTTGGAAACAGCCCTATGTGGATCTCCATGTGGTTAGAGCCTAAGAGGAACAGCCCTATGTGGATCCCTCTTGGAGGTTCCTAGATTGAGGAAAGGACTTCCCTTGGAAACAACCTTAGGTGGATCTCCATATGGTAAGAGCCTAAGAGAAACAACCCTTTGAGGATCTCTCTTGGAATAGATTGAGGAAAGAACTTCCCTTGAAAACAACCCTATGTGGATCTCCATGTGGTAAGAGCCTAAGAGAAACAACCCTTAGTGGATCTCTCTTGGAAGTCCATGTGATGCTTGTGGATAAGAATGTGTTAAGCTATTATGATTATGTGTACATCGAAGGTGAACCTTAGGGTGGGGTGATCTCCAAGGACCTCTGATTTACTGTGATATATTCGTATATCTCACCCCGTGTTGTGGGGCATCATTTCAGGTACTGATAGAGGTGGGGTTGATCGAGGCAAGAAGCATGAGTAGACTGTACCTGATAGCTGGATATTTTGAGTTGCATGCCATTTATAATTGCTATATGTATATTTTTATGTCACAATATGTATTTTGAGGGACTTAGTGCATGATCATTGTAGTGATGAATGCTTTGTTGTAAATGGCTTATAGCTTTGATCATGTTCCTTTTGTAGTTAAGTCCTTTGGCATGTATATGAGATTTGTAATTAAGACATGATGTAATATTGTAATTAATGGAGATGTATGTATGATGAAATGGTATGCATGCTTCTCTTAGTGTATGAGTACCTTGAAAGCTTAGTTTTCATGTAGTGAAAGGATTATATGATGTCAATTAGGTAAAAGAGGACCATGGGTTTGAAAATCCATGTAGAAATATAGACACCCTGTCTCGTGGTCCATTTTTCGCATCCTATGTGATAGATTTGGACCCTTGGGTCTTTAAGGAAGTGGTAGACAATCTTCTTAGCTTTCCATAGAGACCAAGATTGTGTAATTTGGATGAGTATAACTCAAGTTATGGGTAGAATACCATAGGAGATCAAATTGTCCTGTTTTGGGTGTTTGCTGCAGAACAGCCACGCTATTGGCGTGAGATTCACGCTCTAAGCGTCAACCCCACTGGCTGCCCACGCTATGGGCGTGGGGGTCCTGGGAATTTTGTATCCTTTTCTTGGAAAATGCGTAACTTGAGCTACGGTGCTCCGATTTGAGCGCGGTTTGAACCCACGCGTAGCTAATAAAGAATCCTATAATATTTTGGGAAGATTGAGACCATAAAGGCAGTATAGTAATTTCTTAAGTAAACAAAGAGTGGATACGTATAGTGTGAGATGAGAACTATAAAGTAAGTACAAGTTGTACAATTTAATAAAAAGCGAAGAGAGTTTAGTATTGAACTTGAACAAATAATAATATGATGTTAAGTCTAGTTCTGATTGTTCCGCAAGGTAATAAGGTTATGGTCACGCAATTGGTTATTTTAAACTCGGCATAGTTAATGAGGAAAAGCAAGTAAGTTTTAAAAAGAAAATGAAATTTATCCGGGTTTTTTAATTGAACCAATGTGATTGTAACTGCGCTTAATATCATAAAGCAATGTTAACAAACCGGTTCTAGAAAGGGGTGTTACAGTTTACACCCGAGCTTTCCTACTTCTTTGAGAAGATCAAGAACATATTTCCTCTGGCTGATAAAAATTCCTTTGCTCGAATGAGCTACTTCTATCCCTAGGAAATATCTCAGTTTCCCAAGGTCTTTGACTTCAAACTCAGAGGCAAGCCGTGTTTGCAGAATCTGTCTCTCCACAAAATCATCACCTGTGATAATAATATCATCGACATATACAAGGAGCACAGTAAGCTTCCCATTTTGGGAGTGCTTGAAAAAAAGAGTGTGATCTCCTTGACTCTGTCTGTATCCTAAGGTCATCATAACCTTAGTAAACTTTCCAAACCAGACACGAGGAGACTGCTTTAATCCATACAAGGCCTTTTTTAATCTACAAACTTTATTTTCTCCCTTCACAGAATCAAAACCAGGCGGGATTTCCATGTAGACTTCTTCTTCTAACTCACCATTGAGGAAAGCATTCTTCACATCAAATTGATTTATATCCCAATTGTAATGGGCAGCAAGGGATAACAAGACTCTCACCGTATTCATTTTTGCAACTGGAGCAAATGTTTCTTCATAATCAATGCCATAGGTTTGAGAGTCACCTTTGGCAACTAATCGAGCCTTGTATCTCTCAAGAGTTCCATCAGGATTATATTTCAGGGCATAAACCCATCTGCACCCTACTGCTTTCTTTCCATTAGGTCTATCAATAACCTCCCATGTTTTATTTTTCTCCAATGCATTCATCTCCTCTTGCATGGCTTGAGCCCAATTCCCATCTTTCAAGGCTTCATGTACTGATTTTGAGATTGCAATAGAGTCTAGTGCTGAAACAAAGCTTTTGTGCTGCACAGAAAGATTAGTAGAGGAAACAAAATGGGAGATAGGGTATTGAGTACAAGAGGAACAAGATTTCTTGGAACAAGATCTTTTTCCTTTTCTAAGAGCAATGGGTAAATCATCAGAATCAGTAGTAATGGATAAGTCATCAGAAGTATCATGATCAGAAATATGAGATTCAGGACTTACCAGTGGTTCAGACGATTGAGGTTGCTGCTAAGGCAATGTGGGTTGTTTCCTTCGTTGATATACCAACTGAGGTGTCATAATCTTTCGTATCTCTGGTGTACTTGATATATCAGTCACAGGACGGTCAGTCACAGGAAGATCACTCACAGTAGGATCAGTCACAGGAGGATCAGACACAGGAGGATCAACTGACATAGCTAAAGGAGTAGACACTGAAGACTCAAAGAATGGAGGTGAAGGATTCTCCCCCTGAAGATGAGGACCTTGGAAAAAGGACTCAGATTCCTGAAATGTAACATCCATAGAAACAAAAAATTTCCTACTACCAGGGTGATAGCACTTGTAGCCCTTCTTATCAGGAACATAACCAAGAAAAACACATTTAATAGCCCTAGGGTCCAACTTACTGCGATGATGTTTATGAACATGAACAAAAGCGACACACCCAAACACTCGTGGAGGAAGACTCATAGTTGAAATATAAGGGAAAAAAGAAGTTATAGAGTGAATAGGACTTACATGGTCAAGGACCCGAGTGGGTAAACGGTTGATCAAGAATGCTGCAGTAAGAATAGCATCTCCCCAATAGTATTTGGGTACATGTGTCTGAAACATTAATGCACGAACCACTTCAAGAAGGTGACGATTTTTTCTTTCAGCAACCCCATTCTATTGAGGGGTGTCAACACAAATAAGTTCATGAATCATACCATTATTTCGTATAAATTGGGAAAAACTGTGATTAACATATTCAGTACCATTATCTGTTCTTAGTCTCTTGATTTTTCTACCAAATTGGGCCTAAACCATTTTATAAAATTGAAAGAACAGTTGTGGTACCTCAGACTTTTCACGCATTAAGTAAACCCAAGTTACACGAGTGCAATCATCAATAAAAGAGACAAACCATCTATTTCTAGAAGCATGAGGGACTTTAGAAGGACCCCAAACATCAGAATGAATAAGATCAAAAGGCTCAATACTCTTAGTACTACTAGAAGGAAAAGACACACGATGATGCTTAGCAAACTCACAAACATCACAATGAAAAGACTCAACAGGCTTAGACAAAAACAATGACGAAAATAAAGACTTGAGTAAACCAAATGGAGGATGACCCAAGCACTTATGATGAAGCCAAATCAAAGAATCAGTAGTTGATTGACCATGAGACATCAAGATGTGATCTGTTACTTTATTTGCGGGAGATTGTGACACCAGATAGTATAGCTCACCTTGCTCTTTAGCACTACCAATCGTCTTCCCTGTGGCGAGATCCTGAAAAACACAATGGGTAGGGAAGAAGGTTGCAGTACAATTCAAATCTTTTGTAATTTTATGAATAGAAAGAAGATTCGTGGAGAGTTTAGGAACATGAAGAGCATATTTAAGATGTAAGGACTGTTGTAAGTTTATGTCACCAGAACCCGCAATTGATGTATGTGAGCCATAAGCTATGGCTATTGTATGAGTTCCAATGATAGGATGACAAGAAGTAAAGGAGTCAGCATAACAAGCCATATGATCAGTAGCACCAGAATCAACAACCCAATAATGTTTAAAATCATTACATGAAGAAAGGAAAGAATGAGTTTTGGAGCTCATACCAGTCATAGCCAAAGCACTAGTATCAGATGGCTTACTCAGATAATCAAGGATGGTTCAGAGCCGTTTCAATTCATCTGGACGAAATGCAGGTTGGGTCTCATTAGGTGCAGGAGTTATTTCAGAGGAAGTAAAATGCGCTTGACCACGCATTCTAGCCATCTTTTCTAAGACAGTTTTCTTTCCATGGAGGTGAAAGCATAGATCCTTGATATGACCTGTTCTTTTACAATAAGAACATCATCGATCATCTCTCTTAGGTCTAGAAGATGCACCATCAGAAAACTTTGTAAAGGAACTCCTTTGAGAAGAGACCATACTGCACACAAATGGTCAAAGGATAACACCAAGAAGCCAAAAAATCACAAACAAATACCAAACAACGTCATATCTGGCTGGAACAGTAACACAGCGGCCGAAACAGTAACACAGAGGCCGGAACAAATACCAAACAACGTCAGATCTGGACGGAGGCAAGAAATTGGTGAAAGAACAAACTCCAAGAAGCCAAGAAATTCGGAAAAAATACCAAACGATGTCCGATCAAAGTGGAGAGAACAGATCCAGAATCGGCTTGGAGAGACGATCAGAACCATGGTGGTCCGCGGCCGAGAACCACCGTCACGCGCCAGTGAAGCTGGCGGTGCGTGGAGGCGCGTTTGACCTCCGATGGTGCTGGGTTTTTCAGGGCGGCGGCGTCCGGCAAGCGCGGCTGAGTCTGTGGCTGGTCGAAGTGAAAAATCCACCGAAAAAGTGCCCAAATGTGATGAACAAGTTCTGGCCTTTGACGTCCGTTGGTTGCTGTACGAGAGATAAAGATAAGGAGGAAGAACAGTGATAATTGTGATCTGCTCGGTCTAAGAGGTCTTCGGAAAAAATTTCCGGTGGCAACTGATGGCAGCGAGAGACGAAAAAAAAAAGAATAAAAAGTTTCGTAGGTGCGGAAGCAGAGCCCTCAGGATCGAGAGCTCTGATACCAACTTGAAAGAAAAAGGGTATTTGAAATATTATTGAATTGTGTATTAATCTGATACAAAGATGTCTCTATTTATAGAGACTAAAAAACTTAATTCTTGACCTAATGGGCTTGGCTCAATACAACAAATACTAATAATAATAAAAGACCTAATATTTACAACACACACCGTTACAACTGAAATTCAAAAGATTAATGAAATTGGAAATTAGTAGAAATTCCTATAGGACCACTACTCTTTTGCACTGATCTCTTATCCCATTAAAATCGATAATCCAGAATATGTATGGGCTTCTTATTGGCCTTTTTGGGCCCAAATCTCCTGCCTGTTCCGCTGGGTACTGCTTCTATAACTGGGCTTGCCTTATTGGGTCGTGTTGCTACAGATAATACTTAGATTTGTTTGATTTCGATAATGTTTTCTTATTCTTATTTTTTGTTTTTTGTTTTTATTAATGTATGTCCTTATGTATATGTTAAAGAATTAAAATAAAATTCATTATTCATTTTAATTATTTAAGTAAAAAATATTTTGAAATATTAAAAAATATTAAATGCTATTCTTTAACATGTTAACAAAGTTTTTTTTTTAGTTTTTCTAATTCATTTTTTTTTATTTTTCACATTTTTTGAATTAGTTTTATTGAGCAGAGTTTTTCACTTCTTCAACTTTGTTGAAGACAAATAATCCATGTCGAGATTAAAGAATACATAAAGATATTTCTCATTTTCTAATCCAAAGTAATTAACATAGCATGTTTGTGCGCCACCAAACCAACCGCTTGATATTATATTATAATAAAAATATGGGAAAAATGTTTCTGCAGTTACTGCAAATAAGTTATCTGCATTTATTCTCAAAACGACGTCATTTTGGTATTAAAATATTAAAAAATTATAAATAAAAAGACTATTATAACTCTGAAATAAATTAAAATTACAAAAACAACATGATTTTCGTCCCAAAACGACGTCGTATTGGACTTACTGCAGATAAGTTATCTACAGTAACCTGCAGAAAAAGCGAACTCAAAAAATATTTGATATCAATTGAAGAGAATAAAAAAAAAGTGCAATATGAAATGAATAAAATTGACTAGGGTTGACTCAAGTAGCAAATATGAATCCGAGAACTAACAAATCTTACGTAATAAACTGTTGGGGGCTATTTGACCTCTTTGAAGTTTTTAATAGGTTAATTTTCATGATTGGTATCAATAAAATTTTATTTTCCAATATGACACTTATTTAAAAATAAAATAAAAAGTGTTCCGCGTAAGCTGGGGCATGGAACTCAAATCCCCCACTGAAAAAGTAAATTTTTACCGATACCAATTACGAAAATTGACCCATTAAAAATTCCAAAAAAGAGGTAAAACAGCCTAGACTGTTGTGTTCCATTTTGGATATAATTCAAGTATGAAGAAATCATAATTTAAAATTTTTAAGACACCCAAGGGAAAGAGAGACATACATTTTAACAACATGGCAGAAGTTGTCATTGAGCATAGAGCAATTGCAAGAGACCTTATTTTCTTCCCCATATATCATGGTTTCTGTCATGCTCCAGTTGCATGGATCTATGTTGAAGTCCCAATCCTTCTTACCAAGTGTTTTACCTATATCTTTCAACGCTTGCACTAAAATATACACAAAATAAACAGCTATAAGAAATGTGATCACATATGCAACATTTTTATTCATGTATCATATATATGTATCATATCATACCTTCATCCTGTGGCAAATTGGAGGCTCCAAAAGCAAGCAATGTGAAGCAAATGGAAAGAAGTGAAAGGAGGAAAAACTGAGAGGAAATGATAATGTTCATGGTGATTGACATTGGAATGGAGAAGAGTGAAGAACAAGGTAATTTAGAGAGACATTAAAGGAGGAAATAGGAGTAAAGAAGGGTTCAAGGAAGACTTCAAAGTCTTGAGCAGGCCAAGAATAAGAGACTAATTAAGCCACCCTTTACCAGTAAAGTCGTTTTTTTTGTTTGAATCCCAGTCAAATGAAGGTGAATGCCATGTGTTCTGCACCAGCTCAACTATTTTATTTTCTTTGTGAAATGAATTAATAATATCTTACCTGAAAGTTTTGACCCCAGGTGCTCCAGCAAGGGATTTCAATTCTGATGGGCCCGACCCATTTGGGCTTAGCCCATTGTAGGTTCCTTTAAATATATTTAAGCTCCCAATATATCAGATTGATTATGTACTCAACTACTTGAATCAAATATTTATAATAAATTATATGGAAAATGTTATATTTATAAAAAATTTGTTTACAAACTCTTACAAATTTAATTATATATTTTCAGAAATAGACTCGGTTAGGAATGCATTTTCTAGAATACATAATACAGTTTGTAAGAATTTATAAATAAAAAATTTGTAAATATAACATACCCTTAAATATAAAATTATAAGGATTATAGCTAACAAATAAAATTGGTGTAACGGTAAGTGTTATCCACTGCCATCCGCCAAGTTTGATTTCACATTACCCGTGAGTTGATTTGGTGCATTGAGTGAATTGAAGAATGAGAAAAATTACTTTTATGCTACATGTGATAACTTTCTCTCTTATACACCCTTCGATAAATGTGTCGCCTTTTTCTTTTCTTTTCTTTTTATTTTTCAGATGGTGGAATCCACAAATTTGTCTCTATGACATGAGATAATTTATCTCCTTTAACATGAGATTAATAAAACTCTTGAAGAATATAATAAAATTGTCTTTCAATTCATTATAGTTGTCCTCTCTTTATTGTGATTTCCATTACTGTCCATCATTATATACTCATAGGCCCATCAATTTTTAATTATTGACTCCAACTTATCACACTGTGACAAGGAATTACAACTGAATTAAACAAAGAATACAAATAAAGCAAATACAAAAGGAATAATAATGACAATGTATTGATAGTAACTAAGATCTCAACTCACTCTTCAAGACCAACATACCTAAGCCCCAAACAGATCTCAAGAAATCCTTCCCCAAGTCTCACTCCAAATTCATTCAATATATGCATACCTCAGCATACACACTCCCCTCCTTATTATCCCATCAACTAAGAACCTTCTAAAATATTTTCCTAACTAACTAACTAATTCTCTCATTCCTTCCCTTTCAGCCCATAGGCCCATCAAAATCAAACAATAAAAGGGTAAATCCAGGCAACGACAGACCTGTATACTTGTAAGTGTGTGCAAGTGCACACACAAATTTTTTGGGAAAAAAAGAAGAATAAAATATATTTTGGGTCATCAATAAAAAATTATGTGACCAATTTAATCTCTTAAAACAAGTTATCTCGTGATTCCTCTAAATTTCATAATAGACCCATATTAGTCATTTTGAGGGACTAATGTGGGTTTTTTGAATTTCAGATGGACCACGATTTTGATTATCTGGGTCTATTTTTGTATTCTGAGGGACCACGAGTCGATTTTTTTCTAAGGGATTAAATCGGGGCTCATAATTTTTATTGAGGACCCAAAATGTTCTATTGTAATAGTTTCGTTGACTTTTGATTACTTTTTTTATGTTAAGTTAAAGTTTTCTTTTCTTTTTCTGTTTATATTCTTTTCTATTGTAATATATTTATTTTTTTCCTTTATTCTTTTATTCTAAGTGTGCAGACATAAATAAAATTTTCTAGGTCCGCCGTTAAATTCAGATGCAAAAGGCTCCTAACTTGCGAGAGTAGAAGTGAGGTTGATTGTATAAAGCATCACCCTTATATTTTTGTATAGAGACATTTGGTTTATTCTCAAAGACACTTGACACGCAATCAGCATGAGAATACTTACTCAATCAAGAAGATAGAATGCTTCTTCTTTTTGTCTGTGAGTGGTATAGTTCCTTCCATTTATGACTTCCAAGACAACAATTCCAAAGCTATAGACTTATGCCTTGTCACTCAAATAACCATGCATTCATATTCCGAAGCCATATTGCTACCACATAATAAAATTAAAAAGTTTATTAGTCACATTAACTTTAGAAACCAGCATAATCCTCAAAAAAAAATTTCTACGATCAAAACAACTGTCTTATTCCACTATGTGTGAAACATGACTGGTTTTATAAATCAAAAGAAAATCTTAACAGAATTATCTATATGTGATTGATTGAGTTTGTGGCTTGCACATAAGAAACGGCTTCTGCAACAAATTTTTAGATTTAATGGATATACGGCATATATATATATATATATATATATATATATATATATATATATATATATATATATATATAGGGAAAAGTATTTCTTGATATTTTCAAAAAGTTGCACATTAATATTTCCTTTGCTGAGGCTCTGGCTAATATGCTTAATTATGCCAAGTTTATGAAAGACCTTTTATCAAGAAAACACAAGTTGCACTAATGCCAGACTGCGACACTCACTGAGGAGTGTAGTGCAATAATACATAAGAAGTTTCCTCCTAAGCTTCGTGATCCAGGGAGCTTCAATATTCCAATTGCTATTGGTAACACTAATGTTGGCAAAGCTTTGTGTGATCTTGGGACGAGTATAAATTTGATGCCCTTGTCTGTGTGTAAATCTTTGGGAATCTCTGAGCTTAAGCCTATTATGATTTCTTTGCAACTTGCTGACAGATCTTTGAGGAAACCCAATGATATAATTGAAGATGTACTTGTGAAAGTGGACAAGTTCATTTTTCCAGCAGATTTTGTGGTGTTGGACATGGAAGAGGAAACTGAAATGTCTCTTTTGTTGTGTAGACCTTTCTTGGCTACTGCTCGGGCTATGATTGATGTTGAACAAGGGAAGCTCGAGTTAAGAATGAATGACGAGACCATTACCATCAATGTCTTTGATCCTATGAGAAAATCTTCTGACAAAGGTGATTGTTTCAGACTTGATGTTTTAGAAGAAGTGGTGAAAGAAGAGAAATCTCCTAGTCAAGAGCTTGAGGAAGAACTTAAAGCGCATGATATTGTTCCCTTTGAGGAAGAAAAATGTGTTGTGTTTGAGGTTCTTGAGAAGAAAGATTCTGACAAAGAAGATGATGTCCCAAAAGTAGAGTTAAAGGAGCTGCCTGAAACTCTTAAATACATCTTCTTGGGTGATGAGGAGACTTACCCTGTTATCATTAATAAAGGGGTGTTCTTCTGAGCAGGAAATGAGATTGATAGAAGTGTTGAAGGAACACAAGACTACCATAGGGTGGTCCATTTCTGATTTGAAGGGTATAAATCCTTCTTTTTGTACTCACAAAATTCTCATAGAGGTTGATATCAAACCTGTGAGGAAATCTCAAAGGAGGCTTAATCCCACAATTAAGGAGGTCTCTTGATGCTGACATGATTTACCCGATTTCAGATACTGCTTGGGTATGTCCAGTGCAAACGGTTCCGAAGAAGGGAGGCGTACTGTGGTCCACAATGAAAAAAATGAACTAATTCCGACCAGAACTATCACTGGTTGGAGGATGTGTGTGGATTACAGAAGGTTGAATGCCGCCACAAGGAATGACCATTTTCCACTTCCCTTTATGGATCAGATGTTAAAGAGATTGCCGGGCATACTTATTACTGTTTCCTGGATGGATATTCTGGGTACAATCAAATCTCAATGGCACTGGAGGACCAAGAGAAAACAGCCTTAACTTGCCCTTTTGGAGTATTTGCATATCGACAGATGTCGTTTGGTCTATGCAACGCACCTACTACGTTTCATATGTGCATGCTCTCTATATTTTCTAACATGGTGGAGAAAAATCTTGACGTATTTATGGATGATTTTTCATTTTTTGGCTCTTGTTTTGATTTATGCTTTCATAATCTAACTAATGTTTCAAAAAGATGCCAAGAAATTAATCTTGTACTTAACTGGGAGAAATGTCATTTCATGGTACAAGAGGGGCTTGTGTTAGGCCATAAAATATATGGGAATGGGATTGAGGTTGATGAGGCAAAACTCATGTTGATTGAAAAACTCCCTCATCCTGTTAATGTGACTAGTGTTAGAAGTTTTCTAGGACATGCTGGATTTTATAGAAGATTTATCAAAGACTTTTCTAAGATAGCCAAACCATTAAGCCAACTCTTAGTAAAGGATTCTGAATTTAACTTTGATGATGCATGTCTGAAAGCTTTTAATTTGTTGAAAGAAAAGCTCACTACAACTCCTATTCTTGTAGCTCCTGATTGGAGTTTACCTTTTAAGCTTATGTGTGATGCTAGTACTTATGCCATTGGTGCGGTCCTTGGCCAACGTAAGGATAAATTGTTACATGTCATATACTATGCTAGCAAAATTTTAAATGAGGCACAAGTAAATTATGCCACAACCGAAAAAGAAATGCTAGCAGTGGTGTATGCACTGGACAGATTTAGGTCTTATTGGTTGGGGTCCAAGGTAATTGTTTTTACTGACCATTCTGCTATCAAGTATTTGATGACTAAGCAGGATGCCAAGTCTTGTTTGCTAAGGTGGATGCTCTTGTTTCAAGAGTTCGACTTGGAGATCAGAGATAAGTCTGGGGTAGAAAACAAAGTGGCAGATCATTTGTCAAGAATTCAAGAGAAGGAATTGCAAGATGGTCCTGAAAAAGAAATAAATGACATCTTCCCTGATGAGAGGGTGATGGCTATTTTTGTGCCTCCTTGGTTTGCAGATATTGCCAATTACAAGGTGATAAAAGAGTTGCCTCCTAACCTTACTAGGCAACAACAGAAAAATTTTCTGCGGGATGCAAGAAGATTTCATTGGGATGACCTTTACTTGTATTTCCAATGTGCTGATGGAATTATACGGAAGTGTGTGCCTGAGTTTGAAGTGCATAAGATCTT